CTGCAAAACGTTATAAAACCGAGCTTAGAATCTCAGTCAAAAGTAAAAAGAAGCTTACTCGACGAAAACCCCAATACGTTAGACTTCGTAGTACTTGTCTACTCAAAAGAACAGGCAAGATATCTTGGTGTTCCACAGAATACCGTCTTGTGCAGCATGAACAATATCTGTGTCGCGCACAAATACACCAGCACTGAAACAACGGATGATTTTGAGTACAAACTTTGCAGTGCAACGGCTATTAGGGTGAAGATGAAGAAGATTCCATCGTGCGCTCCTGATGACCCTGGGGACAGGCACCTTCGAAGGCAGCCACATCAACCGAGGATGAGCTTATATTACATCACCGCTGGTATTGGAGGGATATTTCTGATCGTTGTTATCACAGGACTGATCCTGTGTAGAAGAAACATCCTGATTGCACGAGAGCGCAAATTTATGAAACAACACCGGTATAGGGAGAGAAGAGACACCTACACCGACAACATGCACAGGCATCACAGGGCTAACCAAGAAACAGAAACCGTAGGAACTCTGAGCCCGGTATACGGAAATGAGGAGCAGGAGGTTAAACACCACGTAGTTACGCGACAAATAAATGTGATCGACAATCCGCTCTATGAGGCTCCTGGAGAAATCAAAGTCAAGCGTTCGGAATCTACTCGTGGCTTTGACAATCCAATGTACGTAAGTTTCCAACCGCCGCAGTCGGACGATAAGAAAACGGTGCGAGAGGAAGAAGCCGAGGAAGCCCACACTGCTGTTGGATTCGCGAATCCCATGTTTGCATCATACAGACAGGTGGGTCTGGGATGCTTGTGCAACTATAGTATTTTTTTTAGGTGGTGTTGTGCCACCTGGTTTCCAAATTTCACCCTGTTTTGAAGAATATTTCGTACCCAAAATGATACCCCTTTCTAGAAATAGTTGAATTAGGTACGCAGTAGTTACCCAGTAGTTACCGCTTAATAATCTCTAGTGTGCATCAACTGTACCAGATTAAAATGTTGGACACCTTTTCAGGAAACGTCTGCGGATGTTTCAGAGATATACCCTCCTCCATGTGTTTCCAAGGTGACCTTGAATATCTTACTGCCAATCGAACAGTGGTAGTGCAGTTTTTTGGAATTTCCCTTACCCAAGGCACAATTTTATTTCACTAGTTCGCCATTTTAAACCCGTTTAATCCTCTGCTATCCAAAATCTTTCTTAGTTTGACATCACCCAATTTTATTTTCTCTTAGGTTACTAATGATGTTTTGTCGTTTCCTTTTAAGTTGAAATATGTTTCGAAATATTTTACAAACATTCTCAGTTAATCCTTGCACTCCCTGAGATGATCATTTAGCTATATTCTCCCAACAGTTTTAAAACACTGTGAAGCACACAGGTGATGGGAGCCAGGACAATTACATAAATTATGTTGTCTCGATGTAACTCCAAACCCTCATAAACAGCCAACAAAGAAATGTGCAATGACCTGTTGGGAGAATTGGCTTTTAGATCTTGGGAGTGAAAGGGTAAACGCGGAGTCAATGAAATTTCAAAAATCTGAAAAGTAATGAAGTTCGAATAGAATTGCTGAGAGACATTTTTCCGACGAGGTCCGGAAAGAGGGAGAGAGAGAAAGGGAGATAGAGACTGCGGTTCTCGTATCTCAGAAGTTAACCTACCACGTCCATCTTTTAATTGTGAAATTTTCACGATCGGTTCATTTTCAAAGAACAGCCCACTTCATTTTAAAAATGTAGCAATGAAATTATTGACGACTCCCTCTGAATTATCAGATGGGTTTTGTTTTAAGTTAGAAAATTATAATATTTTTAGCTACATATCCTGTTGTTGTTGTTGTAGTTGTTGTTGTTTTTTTTTTGCATGTAATTTTATTCCAGTCGTAAGATGTGATGTTTTTCATTGTGCGTGTATGTCTATGCTCTCTGAGTCATTTCCTCCGTTCAGTCAAAGTTGCATGTTTCCCTCCCGCCTCAATTAGCTTCGCCAGTTTGCTGGTAAGGATTGTTAGATATGCATTTTATGTGCTAAGAATTAACAAATATTGTTCCTATTTGTTGTTGTTGTTGTTGTTGTTGTTATTGCTGTAATTGTGTCTGAAACTTTTATTTAGAGATCGTTAAAAGCTGATCAGAGAATTTTTGTCCATTACTACTTCTACTCACTACAAAACGAATAAATTTTTGAATGAATAAATACAATGAAATGAAGTAGGATAAAATTTGTATAAAAAAATTGATAAATGATGGTTCATGATTAGATGGCTGAATGAATTTTTAAACTAAAAGATTTTGGTGTAAATTATACCAACATTTGTCAGAGACAACTCCTTGCTTCGAATTTCAAAATTATTGAGTGGTCCGAGACATGGTTTGACAAAATTGAATTATTAAAAAGCGTCTCAGTTTTTGTGAAAGAAAATATTTGTTGAAGTGCAGGTCTCACGGCTATGAACTATCGCAGGCCTTAACGATCGCAAGTTTGATGTTTATTGTAGTTGTAATTTGTTCCCCACCGAACTTGAAAGTCTTTGTGTAGTGGTGTTCAGTGTGGATCGTTGACATGAGTAAATATTTCATGCTCACAAGAATTAACAAATATCAAGCCTAAAAAAAATCAGCATTTCATGCGACGACATGTGTAAAAGTATTTAAGAATTGTTAATCTCTGGAATATTAAAGAAGAGTTGATTTGTTCTGGAGCTTCGTGCCATTATGAACAGTTGAGAAGTTTGAGCCGGTGACGACCATTGCAAGGGGTAGATAAGGGAATATGTAAAAACGATGAGAGACCATCCTTGTCTTCTTGCGCAGCTGCTTGTCGTCAGTAAAAAGAGGTCTGTATGTGAGAGTATTAGTCACGAACTGAAAAAAGTGCCCAGGACACCGAATTCAAACTCTGCTGGTTTTGCTTTTCTTGGTATACAAATGAATAAAGGCTGATAGCTTCTAAAGAAACTGTTTGGGGCCGTGTCGCTGGGTGTAACGAAATAATTTGAATATATCAACAAAGTTGAAATGGTAAATTGGCCACCGTTGCGATTATAAAAGCTCACGATTCGAGTGTTAGCCCCTCGTCGGAGCGAATAGAGGAATTGTGGGTTGTGTGTGCTTTTAAAGGCAGAATCACGTAGCTCCTTTTTCTGCCTTTAAAAGCACACGCAACCCACAATTCGCCTATTCGCTCCGACGAAGGGCTAACGCTCGAAACGTCAGCTTTTATAATCGTAACGGTGGCCAATTTACCATTTCAACTTTGTTGATATATTCAAATTATTTCGTTACACCCAGCGACACGGCCCCAAACAGTTTCTTTAGAAGCTATCAGCCTTTATTCATTTGTATACCAAGAAAAGCAAAACCAGCAGAGTTTGAATTCGGTGTCCTGGGCACTTTTTTCAGTTCGTGACTAATACTCTCACATACAGACCTCTTTTTACTGACGACAAGCAGCTGCGCAAGAAGACAAGGATGGTCTCTCATCGTTTTTACATATTCCCTTATCTACCCCTTGCAATGGTCGTCACCGGCTCAAACTTCTCAACTGTTCATAATGGCACGAAGCTCCAGAACAAATCAACTCTTCTTTAATATTCCAGAGATTAACAATTCTTAAATACTTTTACACATGTCGTCGCATGAAATGCTGATTTTTTTTAGGCTTGATATTTGTTAATTCTTGTGAGCATGAAATATTTACTCATGTCAACGATCCACACTGAACACCACTACACAAAGACTTTCAAGTTCGGTGGGGAACAAATTACAACTACAATAAACATCAAACTTGCGATCGTTAAGGCCTGCGATAGTTCATAGCCGTGAGACCTGCACTTCAACAAATATTTTCTTTCACAAAAACTGAGACGCTTTTTAATAATTCAATTTTGTCAAACCATGTCTCGGACCACTCAATAATTTTGAAATTCGAAGCAAGGAGTTGTCTCTGACAAATGTTGGTATAATTTACACCAAAATCTTTTAGTTTAAAAATTCATTCAGCCATCTAATCATGAACCATCATTTATCAATTTTTTTATACAAATTTTATCCTACTTCATTTCATTGTATTTATTCATTCAAAAATTTATTCGTTTTGTAGTGAGTAGAAGTAGTAATGGACAAAAATTCTCTGATCAGCTTTTAACGATCTCTAAATAAAAGTTTCAGACACAATTACAGCAATAACAACAACAACAACAACAACAACAAATAGGAACAATATTTGTTAATTCTTAGCACATAAAATGCATATCTAACAATCCTTACCAGCAAACTGGCGAAGCTAATTGAGGCGGGAGGGAAACATGCAACTTTGACTGAACGGAGGAAATGACTCAGAGAGCATAGACATACACGCACAATGAAAAACATCACATCTTACGACTGGAATAAAATTACATGCAAAAAAAAAACAACAACAACTACAACAACAACAACAGGATATGTAGCTAAAAATATTATAATTTTCTAACTTAAAACAAAACCCATCTGATAATTCAGAGGGAGTCGT